CTTCTATGTCCCATGCCCCTTCTTTCTGTAACTTGTCCTTAAATGCTACTTGGTTTGTGTCATTTAGTACCCACCCCTTAATTCTTGATATCTTGGTCCTTAGATGCAACACCCGTCCTCTTCACATCTAAGACAACTAGTCTATGGTGGGTAAAAGTTGGTGTTTCTCATGGTATAACCTTACAATTATTAATGTGGCTCTATCACAGCGTCGAATAGCCCAAAGCTAAGAGAATTTGATACTCCCTCTGTCCCAATTTATGTGATGGTGTTTGACTGGTCACGAAATTTAAGAATGAAAGATAGACTTTTGAAACTTGTGGTCTAAAACAAGTCACAAAAATTTGTGTGGCTATTAATCATCTCATTAAAGGTAAAATGAAAAGTCTAAAGTTAAATTGTTACTAAATATAGAAAGTCGCCATTCTTTTCAGGACTGGGACCAACTAAAAAGGAAAGAGTGTCGCATAAATTCGGATAGAGGGAATAACATTTTTGAGCTAACATTTTACTCCAGACCAATACACAGTTTTCAGTAACTAAACAATACCACCCACGTTAACCTACAGTATTTTTCATTTTGCCCTGGTTGTATGATTATGGCTTCTACTTCTTAACTGAACATGTGACATCATTTTGTAACTGTTCCACAAGAATGCTAGTCTACCATTTCTTTTCTCTAGCTATCTGCAGCTCCAATATACATTCCAACATCAATTCTCAAGTACCAACTTTTCCAATCAAATTTACAGCAGATAGAAACACTTGCCATTCTTTTTTCTTTTAGTAGCTCTTAAGATAATCCTGATCACTTTAGCTCTTGAAGTGAATATTCAAGATTCCTTATCAAAGAAGAAAAAAATAGTCAATATTCCATTTACTGTAGTGCAGATGGACAAACCTTGTCATCAGTTAGATGTAATTTGAATTAAAATATGTCAAGCTCATACCATGGACACGGGAATACATTGTACTAAGGCCAAAGCTTTTCTCTCTGGAGCTAAAATTGGAACTCAGTTTAATTATATACATCAGTACCGGACTTATCAGATGGTTAGATAGAGGCTCCACAAGATGTGAAGAAACTTTGAGCAAACTACAGCTGCATAAGATGCAAGATATTCCCATTGGATTTTTTTTTTTTTTTTTTTTGATAGGTAACTGAAAGAGTTTTATTGATGTAAAGAGGGGGCCAACTTTAAGAAAAAGTTGGATAGGAGTACATCCAAAAGATAACTCTACAGAGAGGGTAAAGAACTAAGAAACTCAGCCAACGCCTCCGACTCAAAAACATTTGACGAGGTTATGTTGCACCAAAAATTAAGCAAAAATATACATTTGTGCTTTAGATTAACTACATTGTCCTTTTAACTCAAAAAGATATTCTCAATGGATCAACTCAAGCTCATTCTATAATCTTTAGTTTATTATCTTATACCAGTAATTACTAATAGTAAAAAAATCAAAAGAAACAGAAAGCCTAAAGTGGAGCGCAAAACAAGAACAGGGAGTCATTATCACATATGCAATCCTGTCTGTCTTATTATGAGAAAAAGAACGCATTTTACTTTTCAAAATCAAAAGGGCCACCTAATCAGACCTAAAAACTGTCTAGAATTCAAGAATTGAGGAGCGAATGTCAAAATCTCCATCATTGGACCGGAAAACTGATAAGTAGAACGCGTCCCTCCATTGGATATTCTATGTAGAAACAGCAATCAAGCTATGTATTAGCATATCTTGAGAGAAGATATGAGTAAGTAGGAAAATAATAGGATCAAGAGTCATAATAAAACCTGACAAGCACTAGAACAAAGAGGACCAAGTAGAAACCCAGCTTGAATATCCGAATCTTCTTCTCAGACTCAATGAACCTAAAAACTTCAGTCACATCAATAAGATGCTGCCGGTTTAAGAATCTGCAATGCAATAACACCTCCCTTAGTTAAGATTTAAATAAAGCAATCTAAGAAAGCATCTAAGAACAAATATTATAAATTGTATCTAGAACCCTTTGTGTCAGTGTCATGTAAACAAGACAAGCTGCATTGTCACAGCAGAAGAGACACAAACGAATATTGACTGAAAGAAAACCACTATAAAGATATCATCTGGACCGCATACTCTTCTAATTCTCATACTCTCTCGGCCATTCTTGTCATCGTGGTTGAGGGAGTTTACTCCACCCCACTAGGTCAAGAGTTCAAGGTTGGTAGAAGAGGAAGAAAATCAGGAGCTAAGGTTCAAGTCTCTCACGAACGTATGAAGCTCCACAGTTATCCTTGTTATTTGTGTTGAGCAATTGATCAGAATAGCAGCATCGCTATCTCTTTTGGTTCACTGTCTCCTCACTCCTGTCACAACTTGTTGGAAATTGTCCTTACCTTCTCTTTGATTTGAGAAAAGAAATTGTTCTCTCACAATCATTTTACCTTAACTTATAAAGTTCTTTCTCCATTTCTAGCATCCCTAACTTCTAGTACAAATCGTTATGCTTTATATGAGATTTTGCTAATTGTCTTCTTGACTTCTTTTACTATTGCTCTCTCCATCTTTCGATGTCAATAATTTTCTATACCGGCCTCCTTTTGCTTAAAATCTTCATGCACCTTATTCATTCCACCACCATGAATTTTTGTGGTCGATAATAGACAGACTTCTAAGCTTTTTGTGCCACTGAATGTCATCAATTTCCTCTTAGTTTTTTGTTCAATTTAGAAAGCATTGCACATGTATCTACTATAATAGAATAACGCTCTTATTTTTTCTTGTACTACGTTTAGCAGATTTTAGATCTTGCAAAAGTTTCTTGAGATGTAGTTATGAACAGCTCGATCATTACATATTTGGAAGTATAAACATAGAATTTGGCAACTGGTCTATCAACGTCTGAGCTTAACCATTGACCGAGAAGCAGCTCGTACTCCTCCTTATCACATATAATATCTGTCTATCTAGAACATTCAGATTCCTAGCGTGTACATCAGTTAGAATGGTGTTTTACAGTAAACTGAATTTCCACCAGTTATAGGCATAGTTGCAAACTCCACAACTCCAAAAAGACCTTAAGTGGTATCTCTTTAACATATTGAAAGGACATATCAATAAGAGATTTATTTATCATACATAAGATGTAAATGTACACTTTATAACTTAAGTAATAGCATCAGGTCAAATATCAATCTACCAAGCTCCTTCACTAATTTCAGAAAGTAATAGCGACAGAATAAAATAAGATCAAAGCAGTGGGCTGCATAGCAGCATTAGTAAGCAATGAGGCCGCATACTTACACAGACACCAAATTCTCCACAATACTTTGACAAAACAAAACAGCAGAACAAGTAATCAGAAGATTAACAAACACCGACATTATTTAAGTTAAGCCATAAGTATCTCCCATTTAAGAAAAGAAACTTACTTTCTGGCATTATAGTAAGCAGGAGGAAGCATTAGCAGGAAGATAAACCAATGCCCTGTGACAAGGAATACGATGCAAAATGCACCATGTAAAATATACTCTTTAAGGACCACAGAGTTGATACGAGACGAGGACTCGTAAGGGTTCATATAATCAGCTTCCAAATCTGTTAAACACACAATCTACAGAAAGCAAAATAAACAACTTCAGACACAAGAAACAAGGAATTAACTTAATGTGCACAAAAAGAACAATTTAGTGGTACTTGAAATAAAGTAAATAATTCATAAGAACCTTCATAACTGCAAAAACATTCAGACAGCAGAAAATTATTGTTATTTTTTGTTTTTTTGGGCCATAGACCCAGAAAAGTACACAAGAAAAACTTAAAACTTTTAGTGATCAACTTCAACACAAGTCTAAAAAGATTCTTTTTTGATGATAAGATGAACATATTAGTTGGAACTTTTTCAAAAGATGACTCCTAGAAATAACATACAATAAATACAAAAAAAAAAAACCAATAATTAATTAACTACGCACTAATCACTAGCAATACTTTGTTATACATAAATAACCATTAAATTCGAGGGAAAAAATATAACTTTCCCAAATAAACATTTAAATTAAATTTTCATTTATCTTTGAAAAACCTTATGAAGGAGAAACAAAGAATAAAAGCCGAACGGAGTAAAGGGCAGAAACGGTACCTGATAGATGATTAATGAGATGAGGGAAATATTAATGACTAAAAATATCAGCCAAAGAATGGGTTCCCAAGCCATTTTTTTTTTTTTTTTTTTTTTGCTTTCTTCTGTTTTTTGTTTTTGTTTTTTCACATGCAGAGGAAGAAAAAGCAAATCTGTAAAAATGGTGATGATTGTTTAGAAGAAAACCCCAGCAAATTTTAGTATGATGGCTGGTGTTTTCTTGGGAGGAACAGCCCCAGGCAAAAGAAGAAAAATTATTCACGGGGGTGTATTTGGCCTTTTTCAGAAAGTTGATGGAAGAAATTTTGTCCAGTGGAGTACTTTTTATTGTACCAAAAAAGAAAAAGAAAAAATTGATGCCGAAAATCAACTGCATCTAAATTTATTTGTGTAGGAGTAATAGAAGACAAATTAATATTGAAAATTAACGAGGAGGCTATTTGTTAGTTAGACAAGGTTTTATTTGATAATCAACTATAATGTGCTTAGTTCATTAATATAACTAATTTGAATTTTGAATTAGTTAAGTGGTGAACTTCTACTAATTAAACTAGTTTAGTTATTAATTATAAGTCCAAAACAGAAAAAAAAAAAAAAAAAAAAAAAAAAGAGGCTCCAGTCAAGTTTATTTTGAAGAAATTACATTTCAGATTTAAACCAATTGTGCGTAGTTCATTTTGTGTGTAGATAATTTTTAAAAAAAAAAAATCTCACGTTAGTATTTGTATTATATTATACTACTAATTAATCATAATTAATTGTAAGGAGTTGGTTGTGCCCAAATTTTATCGACCCGACCCACAGAAGTATGGAACCGTTAAATTCCATCTCAAGAGTTCAAAATAATAGCTTAAAAAAGCTTCAATATTAGCACTGAGCAACAAAGAATGAGCTTCAAACTCGCCAAGAATGCTCTCTCACATACAAATATTCAGTCTTGCTTTCCTAAACAAGACCTTAAAGGTCAAACAGTTGCTGTAAGTATTTAGAAATAAGACCATTTTAGTTTTTGGTTAAAATCTTTATAAATGTTGAAAAGGGTTTCCATTGTTGGTTTGATTACAGATAGTTGGTCTTGGAAAATCAGGAACAGCTGCTACTAAGCTTGCTCTTGCTAGGGGTGCTTCAGTTTTGGCCATTGATCAAAATGAGAATTTGAGACCAATCTTTAAGGTACAATTAACAATTTATGGTTGATACTCCCTTCCGTCCCATTTTATGTGACGGTATTTGACTAAGCGCGGAGTTTAAGAAAGGAAGAACTACTTTTGAAACTTGTCGTCTAAAACAACTCATAAACATTTGTGTGACTATAAATCTATCACATTAAGGGGTCGTTTGGTTTGAAGACAGGTTATGCTGGGATTAGTTATACCGAGATTAGTTATACCGGGATTAGTTATCCTGGTATTATTTTTTATTGACCGTTTGGTATGTTGTATTAATCCTGAGATTACTGTTCCATCCTCTTACCGGTATAAGTTATCTCGGTACTATTTCTAATCCTAGATAACTTATCTAGGATTAGTAACCAAACAAGGGATAAGGGATAAGGTGATGCTAAATTTTTATTCCAGCATTATTATTGCTTATCCATCCTACCAAACGACTCCTAAGGGCAAAGCGTTCAAAGTAAACTGTTTCTAATTATAGAAAAATGTCATTTTTGGGACAGGCTAAAAAGGAAAAGTGTGCTACATAAAATAGGACAGAGGGAGTACATGTTTTCAGGATAATATTCAGTGACTCAATTTGTTGATTTTAGTGTTAGTAAAAAGATGTCCTTGGTTTTATGCAGCAAAATGTTTGCTTGGATGAGCATAATGATGATTTGAAGACAGTGTTTGGTAATTTTGATAATGAGATTCTGAAAGAGGCAGATATAGTAGTTGTTTCTCCTGGAGTTCCGCTGGAAAAGTATGGACTTTTCTCCATGTTATGCTCGGTAAGCATAATTAGTCTGATTTTGGAGGGTGATATGTCCAATTTGACATACAATTTTTGTTTTGTCCACATAGAAAAAGAAGTGGAATCATGAAAATATTGCAGGATCATAGACTGATTTTTGCAGCCTTTTCCACTACTCAATTTTTTAATTCTCTTTCATATTTAGGGGAAGCAAGTACTCTCAGAGTTGGATTTTGCTGCGCAAGTTATTCCCAGTTGCACTAAGATCTTAGCTGTGACAGGAACTAATGGAAAATCTACTGTTGCCACATTTGCAGGACAGGTTATTCCTTTAATTGCTCAAAATTTTGTGCTTTTTGTCTTCTCTTTAAAGTGTGTTTGGTATGATAGAATTCATTGTCCATAGAAAGTATTAACCTGGAAAAAGTTTTCCATGGAATATATTTTCTTGAATTTCGGTGTTTGGTAAAGTATTTTCCGGAGAAAATCTATATTAAAGTTTAATAATAATATTAGAAATCAGAGAGTGTTTTGATGATATTTTTGAGTACAAACGATTAATAATAATGTCTAGTTTGTGCTTGGAGCAGTGACATGAAGCTGAGCGTGGAGATAGTTTTGGAAAATAACTTTTGCCCAAAAGTGAGGGAAGTCATTTTTCCCCCATTTGTTGCAGAAAATATTTTTTGGCAACCAAACAGCAGAAAATGCTTTTTCTGGAAAATGACTTGTGTCATGCCAAACACACCCTTTAGTCGACTTTTTCTTTGTTTTATCTTTGCAAATATGTTACTAATCTAGTATGTATTTGTCAAAATCTAGATTTTTCTGTAAATTTTTCAAGTCTCTTGTAAGTTGTTGCATATCATAGGTTTATATGAAAGCACAAGAAACCAGAGGTAGAGCAAATCGTTTTGTGTTGAGGCTGTTATTGATAGTTGGATAAGAGTTTCAGTATCATATGGAGCGTTAACTTTCTTGTCAATTTACGGAGATCATACATGTTGAGTTTATGTTGCTTTTACTAAACATCATTTACTTTGCTATTCTGAAGGTAGATGCTTAACTGTTTGGGTTTCGAGACATTCGTTGGCGGTAACCTTGGAGTTCCACTTTCAGAAGCTGTTTTTCAGTGCTTAACTTGGTCTCACCAAAGACCTTTACAGGCAAGTATGACCTTTCTGTACTTTTTCAAACCCCTAATTATGCGTATGAGATTTTTATACTTGATAAATTTTGTTCATATTCTTATTTTCAGGTTGCTGTTGTGGAGGTCAGTAGTTATCAGTTAGAAATCCCACCCAAATACTTCTGTCCTTCAGTAAGTAAGCTGTCCGATTTTTGATAGCTAATGCATCTAACAACTTGTTCGTGTTATTCTAATTCTAACAACATGTCTAGGTTGCTGTGATCCTTAATCTTACTCCTGATCATCTCGAAAGGCACCAAACTATGAGGAACTATGCTGCAACCAAGTGCCGAATTTTTTCGCACATGAGAGATCAGAAAATTGGTATCCTTCCTGTTGGTAAGTGATTAAAAAGTGGCATTTCTCTCTAGAGGAAACACATGGGGCACATTGTATCATTTATATTTGACTTGTCTAAAGCTAGTTTTACTCAATATGTTGGCTTGCTGACCATTATAATTTATGTTTGCTTTGGTTAAGGAACCAAATATGCAAGTATTGGAAATCGTCCACTTTTAAATGGATAAAGAAATATAAAGGGTTGAAACAACAATGATGATATCGCTCTTTTAAAAGATGAATAAAAATAGCTGGTAAAAAGAGCAAAATGTCCTATTAGGGTCAATAGTGTGATGCCTGTGATGTTGAGCCTCAATTTTTTTTCTAAATCAAAGATTATTATTAGTTCACTGGTGTCCATCTCATATCCATGCATGCCTAACATCCTCACATCTATTTAGGAAACCAGTATCTTGATGAAGCAATTATGGATCACGCAAATGGTGTTAATCTTGCTTGGATTGGAGCTCGCTCTGGTGTCAGGGTAAGATGCTTTATTTCTTAATACCTAAGGATCAAGAAACTAAAGAATTGAGTCATGCATTCTCACTTGTGTAAAGAGAATGCGCTGGTGGATTTGATAATGCATCTTAAGGTCCTTAAGAAAAGCAAATATTTCCCATACCAAATATGGATGGCGTTGTTTGTTGTGATTCCATGCCAATGGGATAAATTCTGCTGTCCATATTCCATTATAAAATTGTTATGGAGTATGTATGACAATGCAATAAGTTGGAAAAATAAGTTGTTTTTTGTCATTTCTGATTATCCATGATGTTATGGTTATTTATCTTTTCCAACTGGTTTCTAGGAAACAGCTATAAGAATCATAAAGAACAAAAGGGATTATCAGTGTTTCTTGTGCCCTGATGCCCTCATACTGAAAGGATGCAAATGAGATGAACTACTTTCACTTGTCCTATCCTCTTAGAACTTGGTTGTTGGTCTTTGGGGCGAAGTATCTTAAATTTTTACCTGTAACTGGAAGGTAAATGTGGAGGCTAAGATTGCAGACATAAATCTTCCTACAATAGGATGTGTTTCGCAACTAAAATTAGGTGAGCTGAAGGCAGTTGGGAAGCACAATTACTCTAATGCTGCAGTGGCTGCATTATCAGTTATCGGGTTGGATATTGAGATCAACGCTACAGCTTTAAGCTCAACAATTTCCAAATTGGGAACTCTGCCTCATCGAATGCAAGTTGGTGAGTTGAAGCGACATCCTTTATGCTATTCTTGTTGGTTAATTACTATATTTGTATCCTTCGACATTAATCTTTTTCAGAGACAAACTGTTGCTAACATTTTACAATATGAAAACAGAAAAGAAAGTAAATCTAGGCATTATTTGCTGAAGGAACATGATAAAAAGAACACAACCGACTTCTCCTTCTCTGGGGTTCAGCATTGATATACTCGAGTATTAGGTGCAATACTCGAGTAATTTTGTGCCTGCTACTCATTTGGAGTGGAACTCTATCCAATATCAAAATGAGTATCAAATGGCCTACAGTATTACCCTTTAAAGGGAAATAGAAGAGACTTCGTAAATAGCTGGGTATCTTGTACTGCATTTCTTTGTTGATTTGCATTTTATTTAGTCTTTATGTCTGAAGTCCGTGCTCAAATAATTCTAGCTGCTAATCTACGTCTAGTTAAGTAACTAAATCCTTGCACAATTTTATTATGCAAATATCCATATCTGACTGGAATGTCTAATGCAAGTACAAATTCATGGAGCATGTGATTTTGACAGGTTGAAACTCGTTTCTTTTTCAAACAGATCAATCTTCTAGAATATAACAAAGGAATGTAAATTGCATAGACACAATATTAAGATAAAACATGCATTATCATGTGGGAAATTGTATATCTTTTCTGCTAAAAAATCTTTTCCCTAAATTTTCTTCCCCTGGATTAAGCTCTTTTCCGTAATATTTAATACTGCTGGTGGATGCTTAATGGTGAGAAATTCAATAGTAATTTCTTTTCAGTTCATGTAGACAATGATGAAATAACTTGGGTTGATGACAGTAAGGCAACAAATGTTGAAGCAACATATTCTGGATTGCTTGGCTTTGAACAGAAGTCGGTGCTTCTACTTGGTGGTCTTGCAAAGGTTAAAATTCTTACTGGTTCATTAGTGTTAATCTATCTTATTTGTTTGGCTTTGTCCCTGTGTCAATTTTCACAGAATTGAGTTGGTTCGGGGATATCAAGAGCTTGTAGCATGATTAAAAGATGCTCTTGGTTGATTTGAGAGCACATTAGAAGAGGTGTTGCTTGATAGTTCTAAAACTGGAAAATGTAGTCATAAAACATTTGGATTCTGAAGTAAAAACTAAAGGGTAAGTGCAGTAGAGTCGACCAAAATTAAGGGCTTCAGCAGTGGTCATGGTAGAGAGAGGAAAAAAGAAAATTTATTTGTCGTGTGGCCAGTCAGTAACATCCCTGCAACATTTGAGTGTCGAGAGTAATTTTTATTTCTCATGTAAAATCACCTCTTACTATTCATCCTCTCGAGCCGAGGGTCTTTCGGAAACCGTCTCTCTACCTCCCCAGAGTAGGGGTAAGGTCTACGTACACACTATACTCCCCCGACCACACTTGTGAGATTCTACAGGGTTTGTTGTTGTTGTTATTGTAGTATGTAAAATCACCTCTTAGTCATCTGGAATGCTTTAAGAACCTTATGCTCCACGCGAAACCTATGAAATAAGCAATAGGAAATCAAAATGCCAAAAATCAGATAAACGTCCTAAATTTCCCGACCTCCCCTACCCAAAGAAAATTAGAAAAATGTCTTGTATGTACTCAAAGTGCTGCACAATAATCTTTTTTAATAAATAAAAAAAAACCATGCCTTCTCTCGCCTGTGCATACTATGCCCAATTTTTTTCTTTAAATGTAATATTTTCTTTTTTCTTTTGCATTTTTCTCTTTAGGAGGTGAAGACAAAAGCTTCTAATGGATTTGAGCAGCTGGTAGAACCTCTTCAACACCATCGGGCTGTAATCACTGTATGTGACTGTTGTTGTAGCTTCAGGATGAAATCTGCCGATGCTTTGTGCTTCAAGGCATCACTATTTACTTTTGCTTTTGAAAATATTGACACTGGTATCTGTTGTTCTACAGTTTGGATTTTCAGGAACGATGATTCAGAAGACACTCTGTGCTAATGGTCTTACAATTCCATGTTTGAATGCTAAAACTCTTAAGAATGCCGTGAGCTTGGCAAGGAGTATAGCCCAACATGGTTTGTCTCTTACTTCGCAAAATCTCTTGTTTAGGTTGTTATTATCTACCTTGTCATTGCATTGATAACTGAGAAATGAAAATAAATTCAGTTTCTAACTCAAGTGTTGTAGAAGACCATACATTTGAGGCCTGAATTGGAAAATGGTTGGCCTTACATTTTAAGGGTTGAGTTAACTAGATACTGTGAATTCAAGTTTGCAAGTAGAGTACTTCTCACCTTGAGATCACCTACATAATGCCTTCTATTTTGGTTGTAGGGGATGCCATTGTACTAAGTCCTGGTTGTGCTAGCTTTGACGAGTTCAGAAATTTTGAACACCGAGGAAGGACCTTTCAGGAGCTTGCTATCTCATTAGAGTGACCATCTCGTCTCAAGTTCATTGGAGATGGACGATTCTCGCCTCGTAATGTTTTTTAACCAGCCAGGGAATTTTGGCAATTTATGTACATAATCCTAGATTCATTCTTCCTTTTAAATTCGCTATTAGGCCTGAATTCTTTGAGTATTCGTTAGACCGACCATGTCGTATGGGGCGGAGTGTTGGCCAATCAAGACCTCTCATGTTCAGCAGTTAAGAGTTGCGGAGATGTGGATGTTGAGATAGATGTGTGGTACTAGGAGGGATATGATTAGGAATGAAGATATTCGAGATAAGGTATGAGTGACCTGTGTTGTGGATAAGATGCGGGAAGCTAGACTGAGATGATTTGGTCACGTGAAGAGAAGAAGCATAGATGCCCTGTGAAGAGGTGTGAGAGGTTGGCTATGGCGGGTTCAAGGAGAGGGCGTGGTAGGCCGAAGAAATATTGGGGAGAGTTGATGACATGACATGACGCATCTTCAGCTTATCGAGGACATAGGAAGCAATGCTTGATAGAAACGTTGATTCAGGTGCATCTGATCATATTACTTTTGTTATAAAACATTTTGAAAAAACTACTTTATAAGGTCTGTAATGAAGCCTTCAATTTTGCGTAAGAACTATCATCGAATCCAAAAAATGTAGAAGAACACAAAAGAAGAAAGAAAAAAATGCTAATTTTGCTTGATTAGGTGTGGAACAGAAGACCGAGTGGTAAGGAAAGCTGGAAAGGTGCTTAAACTAGCAATTCAACCACTGCTGCCATCCAACTTTTATTTTTTAGGGGGCTCAAGTAAACTATTTAATGGGTCCTATCTGGATATACAATACACATAAAATCTATATATACATGATTTTTGCCGAGCCTGACAGGTTCTGGTGACCCCGCACCCTCCACTGTAGATCCGCCTCTGCATGACAATGTGGATTAATCTTGAGGAGTCTTTGTTACAAGCTATACATTATGTTGTGAAGTTATGATATTGCAATTCGAAATATAATTCTTTGGTCATTATATTGTCGTTTAGGGACGGAAGTTATAAAAATCAAAACAACGTTGGTAGTATCAAATGGTAGAATTCTATATTACACAGGGGTATTAACAATCGAAATGTTTGAGTTTTGGGCTATTTCGATTTGGCAGACTCCTCCCTTCTCATTAGATTATTAAGCAGACTATTTTTTTCGGGAAACTTCCAGTTATGTCCGTTCATAAGTATATCAGTACAAAAATTGATTAATTCGTAAAATATTATTATATTAGTCAAATGCTATTAATATTAATCAATTAGCTATTAATAGCCAAAAAAAGTCAAAATTTTACTTTCTTTTGAGTGAGTGTTGTTGGAATAGATTGGGTATATTTTAAGGAGTTTAAATTTCAGTTTTGGGATGATTTGGTGGAGTTTTGATGTGGTTTGAATTAAAAATTCGAAGTAGAAGATGAACATGGAAAAAGATGTTGTGTGTATCATATGTGTATATCCATAATTTGTGTGTGAGATACATGCGTGATACATGTTTGATACATGTGTCGCAGAAGAATTTTTTGAACTCAATTTTAGTTGCGAATTTTGATACAAACCAATCGAAATCACCTCTAATCTTTTATATATTGTCTCATCTATATGTTTTCGATGAATTCCAGCTATACTCATTGAAAAAAGACCTTTTTGCTTAATTTGTTAATATTATATATCATTGGTCAATTTTGACTCCAAACTAGTCTAAACTCACCTTCAGACTTCGTCAAATTTTATATATTGCTTCGTCTATGTGTTTTCAGTGAAATCGCAATAATTTCATTGGAAAAAAAAATTCCTAGATTTTTTGAATGTTGTATGTCATTAGTAATTTTTTTGGTTATTTTAGTAGCATGACTAAAATAGCTAGTTATTGGTAATTTCTGGTGCGGGCGAAAAGTGATAATACCCGACAAAAAATATTCTCTCTATTTCAATTTAGATGACATACTTTCTTTATTAGTCCATTCAAAAATAATGACACATTTCTACAATTGGAAATAATTCAACTTTAAACTATATATTTCACCCATTTTACCCTTAACGGGAATATTTTATAACCACACAAATGTCAGTCCCCACAAAAGTTTTACCCTTAAGCAAGACTATAAATTTCAAAAGTCTTTTTTCCCCTCAAACCCAGCTCATCTAAGTAGGCGTTTGGACATGAATTCCCAAAAAAAAAAAATCGAATTTGGAATTTCACTAAAATTTGAATTGAAGATGAAGTTGTGTTTGGTTATAATTTTTTGCAATATTTGGATGTCTTTTTTTTCAAAATCTTGAAACATGATTTATACCCCCACAACTTGTAAAAATATCAAAACCACCCCAATTTGATTATCCTACTTGAAATAAACAATCAAAACTATTATAAATAGAATTTTATTTATGGTGAATGTCTATATTTAGAGAGATTCTAGGGATTATTACTTGGTGGCTAAGTCACTCGTTCCCTTTAAATAGAGGGTTCTATTCCATTGTATTCATCCCAAAATCAATAAGAATTCTCTCTCCCTACTTTTCTCTGCAATACTATTCTTTTTCTTTTATTGTTTCATAACACGTTATCAGCACGAGACTCTAACCAATTGAGTAGAAGCTTTGGGATTGAGCATGATGATTGTCAATTATTCCATGAACTTCCTTCATGATTAAATTCTGGATTTAAAGTATGTATTTTACCGTAATTTTCTCTTTTATTCTATAATTTGATTTTAAATACAAGTAAAGAAAATAAATTTTGATTATAACTCTATTGGAGTTAGTAAGAAATTATAACCACTCGAAGTGGTAAAATTTCTATGTCTTGCCATGATCAAAGTCATGTATGATCGTGAGCACAAGAAGTGAAAACCCGTCCCATTGAATTTGCTCCATTCTCATTCCCTTAAGAGAATGTGATAGCAATATGTAATAAGTATGAAAGAAGACAAAATTATTACCATAAAGGTATCAATGGATGTGGACGTGGTAATAGACGAAATTATAACCGTCACTATCGTAGTAATGAGAATAATAAGGATTCTCAAAATAAGCCTTCACGCTATGAAGTTAATGTTTGTCATCGATTTGACATAAGATTTCGTAAAGCACATACAGATGACTATGGTCAATTCATGATGTGAATGTGACAACATCTGATTTATGAATACATATTCATTCTTGGAAGAATATGAACGTGCTAGTGGTAGTGAATATACCACGCACTCACCTCTAGAAGGAGGTTTGAGATGATATAAGAAAATAATATCAGTATTATGGCATAAATGGTCATTGGTCACGTACCTATTGCACACTAAAATATTTTGGTAATGTGATTATTAAAGGATAACATTAATGCAAGAAACATATCTTGCATATAATTTTGACCATAACCATAATGGTATAACTTTCTCCTTGAAAGAGATATATGACCATATGGATGTTGATGAATATGTGGTAGTACAAAATTAATTGAGAGCTCTGGAAGAGCCAATTATCACTATTTTGGAGAAAATTGATTATCAATAAGACGTTGTGTTGTAGTAAGTCTCAAAGAAACTTATTGAGTTTCTAAAGTATTCGCGAAAGCGGTTGATCACGCCCAACTATGCCTTATAAAAAGGACAATGCGGTCATTGCAAATATAATCCGGTTTACAAGTCCGGAGTCGAATCCCACAGAGAACTAAGGTTTAGCTACAGCTGTTCACTATCACCAAGAAGACAAGCTTGAACAATTCCTAACTTATAGATATTAAGATTCTTGTGTTTAACTAATTAACTAACAAATTAAAATAGTAAATTAGCAACTAACGATACTGAGGGTTAGAGAAAAGATTAAGGAGGTCTAGAGTTATGATTTCCCCTATTGTCGGAATTCTTCCCGCTATGTCTTCTATAATTTCGCCTAAGTATTCTCTACCGATCATGAGCACTCTTATTGCCGTAAATCTCTCCCGAGTAATTACGACAATTTACTAGACGCACTCTCCCGAGCTACGCTAGCTGGCTTTTAATACATCTCACTTCAGATCGCACCCAAGGCTTCGTTATCCCTAATCCCGCCTTTAAACCCGCGGTTATTGATCCCTCATATACTTTGGGAGTGGTGTTGTTCAACAGCTACCTAAATATGCACTCTCTCCCGAGTTATGCATACTAAATAGGCACAGCTAATTGAGAGCTCTTCAATCAACCACAATATAAACGTAGTTGAACAAATAGAGAAAAGCTATGGCTATATTATATAAAAACATAACAAGAATTTATCCTACAAAGGGTTCAATCAAAACTCTAGATAACAAATTAGCTATTCATAATAGTATGTAAAACTACAATACTAAAAGTCATAACCAACAATGAAAAAAATAGGAAGAGGAAGGAAAAAACTCGTAGAAGAATTCTCCGCCTTGCTCCCAATGTGTTCTTGCCTCCAAGGGTGTTGTCTAACCCTAAAGTAGTGTCTCCTCGCCTCCTTAGGTCTAATTTGTGTCCAAAATATGTCCTCCTCTTGTTCTTGGCCGACCTCCTTTGTTTAATATAGGGTTTAGGACTTAAAATCCCATGTTTTGCACTTTAGTCCCTGAAATTTTCGCTTCCTGCCGCGGTTTTGCCGCGGTCGCGGTGGAACCGCGGCCAAACATGCCCTCTGATTCTTCAGTTGTCCGCGACCATCTTCTACCGCGGTTCTGCCGCGATCGCGGAAAAACCGCGGTTTTTCGCCCTGTTCTGATTGGAATTTGGAAAAACGTAAAACATGAAAGTTGTAGCTCTTTGAGCTAGATTTCCAACCATATATTGTGGAGCCCAAATGGAGTTCTGAGCAAAACGTTATGTCTATTTTACTAGACAGTGCGCAATATGCTTCCTCAAGTCTTCGTTCGTACTTAATTATCAAATTTGACCCCCGAACACGATCCCGGCTTAATTCCTTGAGCTTTTAATCAGACTTCAAAGCTTCAAATCACTTAAATTCATTCCATAACATCTATATAGCTCGGAATCACACCTACAAGGCATAAAACACACAATTAGTGCAAAACACTAGCGATTAAAGCGCAAACTCAATTAAAGTGCAGTAAATTCGAGTGTAATAAGCGACTAAAATATGCAATTATAGCCTATCATCAGCTGTTGGTCATACTGAGACTATAAATAAAGGAAAGATTTAATATCTTCTATTACTACAACTTGTAGCGAGGTAATATGTATGTGAAAAGCTACCCGCTTTATTCTCCAGTTTGTACTACACAAACAAAAGAATGCCGCAATAAAGAGAAGTTTATTGATATAAAAATCCATATCATAATAAACTTGGAGTTTATTGATAATTGCACACGTCATGGTGTAAATCCGAAGTTTATCAATATTGATAATTTATTCAGTTGGCATAATTGGTTTACCCATATCAATTTAAGTATGATGTGCAAAAATAAAAGAGAATTCACATGGGTAAATATTAAAGAACTAGAAAGTTCTTTACGAATTCTCTTATGTTGCATGTTCTCATTAATTAATATATCAACTAAAATTGGGATTGAATCCCATGAATGCTAGAAATATCAAAGGTGAATATGGGC